AGGTAAACATCTTTCTGATATTCTCTGCTTTCAGCCAAGATCCATCAGACATTAGCAATGATATTTCTTGTTCCGCGGCCTCTTCTGAATCCAGCTTAAACCTCTGGAAGTTCTCTGTCAATGTATGATTGTAGCCATTTCTGTATTACCTTAAGCAAAATTTTACTCGCTTGTGATATCAAAGATAAAGTGCTTTATTGACTATGTAATAGGCATTCAACTATATCAATCAAATTATGGAAAATTAGGGAAGAATGTGGATTTTATAACACATAATTGTGCTTATGAGAAACCTGTACCTAGATCTTAGAAGAATTGATGCATTTGAATTTTGATGTTGGTGTGGATTATTGAAAGTACCATGGACTATCAAGAGAACAGATAAATCTGTCTCGTAAAAAAACGCAACCAGAATGCTGCTTACACCAGGATGGTGAGACTTTGTTTCTCTTACTTCAGACATGTTATCAGGAAAGACTAGTTCCTGGAGAAGGACATCATGCTTGGCAAAGTGGAGGATCAGCAAAAATAAGGAAGGCCCTCAACAAGATGAATTGACATAATGGCCGCAACAATGGGCTCAAACATAACAGCAATTGTGAAGATGGTACAGGACTGGTCATTGTTTTGTTCTGTTGTTCACAAGGTTGCTGTGAGTCAGAAGCAACTTGATGGCACCTAACAACAACAAGTTTTAGATGCCTACTTGTCATTCAAATGAAGATATGAAATAGTGGTATGAAGTTCAGCGTAGGTGTCCTACTGGAGGGCCAAGAGTGAATGTGAATGAAGTTAATGTGTAAAAACCAAATGATGATTTACTTTCTTATTTAGAAATCAAGATGAGAACATAATGCTGGGGAATGAGAAGGAGCAGCTAGTGAAGTAGGAGTTGGAACAAAAAAGTAATGTCCCAGAAGTCAAGTGAAAGTAAGTGTTTCTAGAAAAAGTCATATGGAACAGTTTCAAATTCTGCTGAAAAGTCATGTAATAAAAATGAAAACTGACCATTGAGTGGAGGTCACTGGTAAACATTACAAATGTATTTTGTATGGAACATTTGATTAGAGTGGATTCAAGAGAGAATAAGATAAAAGGGGGGGGGGAGTAAAACTAGGCAATACTTTCTTGAACTTTTGTTGTAAAGGGGAGCAGAAAAATTGAATGATTGGAAATTGAAGGGTGATATTGGGTCAAGAAAGAGTTATAAGTTATAGTAATAGTTCCTTTAAATTCTAGGTTTAACTTTTAACTAGATTTCTTAAGGGTCAAGCTTTTACTTCTTTGTACTTCATATAATGTCTAATAGACTACACTAGGAATGATAAGATCATTAGAAATGAACCAAATCAAATCAATTCTGTCAAGTGATAACCGATGCATGTTAGAGTAGAAGTGTGTTCCATTGGGTTTTCAATGACTGATTTTTTTGGAAGTAGACCACCATGTCGTTTTATCAAGGCACCTCTAGGTGGACTCCAACCTTAAATATTAGTAGTCATTCAGGGACTCCTAAGATCAAGAATAAGGAGCTCTAGTAGCGTAGTGGTTACAAATCGGGCTGCGAACCACAAGGTCAGCAGTTCGAAACTACCAGCTGTTCCATGGGAGAAAGATGAGGCTTTCTGCTCCCGTAAAGATTTATAGCCTCAGAAACCCTGTACAGGGTTGATATGAGTCGGAACCGACTCCACGGCACTTAACAACAACAACAACAAGATCAAGAATAATTGCTCTTAATTAAAGATTTACCACTTGGCAAGCATTTTTCTAAGCATTTCATATACAATTTATTTTCTAATCAACACAACAATCCTGTATTATAGATTAGTAAACTGAGAGATTATATAATTTACTCATGGACTTGAATCCAGATCCATCTACCTCCATTCTACTATAGTACCTCTCACACTGAGTATGCATTCGTAAGTTATTTAGTTAGCATCTGCTGATTGAGCAAAAGGAAACTGAACAAAAAAAGAACTTCAGTTTGCCACTTTGTTATTTGAGACCACAAGTTTTTGTTAGCTGAATTAAAAAAAAAAAAAAAAATTAAGTGCCCAAATATACACCTTTAGCTATAAAAGGGAGTGTAGTGGCTCCAAGGAATAAGCATTGGACTGTGAACCACAAGGTCCGCAGTTCAAGCCTGTCAGTGGCTCCATGGGAAACAGGTAAGACTTTCTGCTCCTGTGAAGATTTACAGCCTTGCAAATCCTATCCAGGGTCACTATGAGTCAGAACCGACTCCTCAACACTTAACAACAATGACATCATGTAGTAGTACATTTTAAATGGTTACCTCTATATAAGGACTATATTTATTATGAAATTTAGATTAATTTTAGCAGAATGAGAATACCTCACCTAAAAAAATTTCATGAATGTTGCTGTTCTGTGCTACTTTTGATAGATTTCCACTTTCTGTATGTGTTTGGAAAATTCCAGAAACTGTGAAATTATAATAACTGTAGTAGATCTTGTGTTTGTCCCATAGTAGTAGTTCTGGCACTGCAGAATATAAAAACCGGGGAACTAAAAAACTGTCCATGGGGACATATAAGACAAAGTCTTGGTACATCCAGTGTTTTGTGTCTTCATTATATATTACCATGTGAATCTCTTTGCTGTTAATACATGTAGTGCAATAATGAAAAAATAGGGCAAATTCCAAAGGATGTGCTGTATACTCAATAGTGTGTATAGTCAGAGTAGCAGTTGGTGATAGATTTAGGAGATTTTTCAGTTCTGCAGCAGTAATTATTTTTTTAAATCCAAATAAATACTGTGGCTCTTTGTGTCCTGTACTGTTGAGGTGATTCTTACTACCAAGGTAAACTTCATTGCTTGTCCAGATTGCCACAATACTTCTCGTTCCTTGAAACTGACAAAATGGAAAATAATTAGAAAAATCTTCTATTTAGAAGTAGTTCCAACTATTCCTGTTTTGTAATTTGTGACATTTAAAATTACAAATTAGAAACTCCTAAGGTTTACTTTGTTTTAGTTCACTTCTGACTAATGCCTCAGGCATAGAAATATATCATGTATCATAGAAATAAATGATTCCAGTAATTTTACTCTCTCCTACATGATTATATTCCACCACTAGGTGTAATTCTCTTTTTTTTAAAAAAAAAAATTGTAACTCTGTTTTTAAACATCAGTCTTCTCTTTCCTGTATATTTATCTGTTATGGCCAGGGCTGTCCCTCTGACCTTGTGTAGTCATAAAGGGTTTTTGTTGCCTGCCACTGAACTAGTCGATTTTCAGAGACAGAGCTCAGAGCAAAAAGGAAAGCATTGAATATTGATACAAAGGAGGACAGAGAAGCCAGAATCTCCCAAATCTGCCTCCCTAACTGGAGGACAGAGTCTGGGTGTGATGCTCTAGAATAAGCACTCAACCCCAATGTTGGTTGAACTGCAGATTGGCAGTTCAAACTCACCAGCCACTCCTTGAAAACTCTATATAGGGTTGCTATGAGTTGGAACCCACTCAATGGTACTTAGCAACAACCACAACTGGGGATGGTCTGGGGAAAGAAAATTAGGATCATGGAGCTTGTTGGCAAGCATTGCTGTATTGTTTTTCTATTCCAGTAGTTAGGGTGGTTATGCCCAAGACATAGTGTTTCAACCATCCCTGTTTGCTGATTTCATCTTTGTTCCCTGGAGGACAGTTAGCCCCTTTGTTTGGGCTGCAAGTTCTGTTTTGGAAATTGAAAAGAGTGATCACTTATGGAATGTAGTTAGGGAGGGAATTAATTTGTAACTACTGCCACTGCTCTAAGATAGCTATTTGGATTCCATTTTAGTTTACTGTTGTTGTTGTTAAGTGCCATCAAGTCAGTTCCAACTCATAGCAACCCTGTACATGGTTTCCAAGGAACGGCTGGTGAGCTTGAACCGCCAACCTTCCAGTTCAAACTGACCCTGCAGTTCTGCGCATTAACCTGCAGTGCCACACCAGGACTCCATTTTAGTTTGTCGTTGTTGTTGTTAAGTACCGTGGAGTCAGTTCCAACTCATAGTGACCCTGCACAGGGTTTCTGAGGCTGTAAATCTTTACCATTTTAGTTTAGGTTAAGCTAAAATCTTCTCAGTGCCCTTGTTTCACTCGATGTTTAGTAATGTCGAAATGTTTACTAACATACAACATAAGACATCTCAAACATTAAAGAGAGCCCGAAAAAATTCCTCAGAGGAAATAAATTAGAAACAATCATTTAAACAATCTGTGAGATTAGAATGTAAGATTAGAGTGTCATAAGAAACAATCACCTGTTGTCCTAACAGTCAAAATAAACCCAATAAGCAAGAAAAGCATGTTGTTTGTTTTTTTCAAAATCCATCAGAAGCATGAAGAATCTAAAGGAATTATCTTAGTTATTGAGTGCTGCTATCCTAGAAATACCACAAGTGGATGGCTTTAACAAACAAAAATTTATTGTCTCACAGTTTGGGAGCTATAAGTCCAAATTTAGAGCTTCAGCTCTGTAGAAAGGCCCTTGTGTCCTTCAGCATCTGTAGACCCCTAGTTCCTTGGAGATCTCCATCTATTTTAGCATTAATCTTTCCGTGGACTTAGGAGATTCATGGAGTCCTGGTGTGACACTATGGGATAATGCGTCTGACTGCAGAGTCTCTTGAACTGCAAGGTCAGTGGTTCAAGCTTACCAGCTGTTCCTTGGAAACCCTATACAGGGTCGCTTATGGGTCAGAATTTACTTGACAGCACTTAACAACAACAGGAATTCACAGTGGAGACCCCCCAGGTCCAAAGGACATACTCAATTCCTTACTCTGTTTTCTTGATGATAGTAGATCCCTCTTCCTCTGCTCATTTATCTCTCCTTGTATAGTTCAAAGAGACCGACTCAAGATGCTCAACATCATAGAAGTGACAATTGACAACACATAGGATAATTACATTAGATCAAGGATCAAGCATATCCATTATGAAAGATGTGATTACATGTATTAGATCTCATCATAGGAAATTACAATGTCTTAGCTGCTAAATCACTGAGAATCCTGGCCCAGCCAAGTTGACACAAAATCTTAATTATCACAGAAACTAAATCCAGATAATTATGAACACTTCATAGATGAGACCCACACTATTCCCATTCTTGTTAGAAGGATGGGAGAAGAAATTCATCATAAAACAGGGGTTAGGAGAAACTAGGCACATTTGAAGGACCACATGTAGGCTAGCATGGTAGAGGAAATTTCTGAGCATCAGTCACAGAATAAGTCCTCACCCACCCACAGACTCTTTCCTACAAGTCTTCATTTAGTGCTTGGGCTTATTAAGTGTGATGGATTGAATTGTGTTCCCCCTCTCCCTCCCACCACTCATCAGTCAGTTTGTCATACTTTGGTGGCTAGTGTGTTGCTGTGATGCTGGAAGCTATGCTACCCATATTTTAAATAATAGCAGGGTCACCGATGATGGACAGCTTTTAGTAGTCAAGACTAAGACAGACTAGGAAAAAGGAGAGGCAAACTACTTCAGCATGTTAATCCTCTGAAAACCTTATGAATAACAGTGGAATATTGGAAGATAAAGTACCAGAAGATGAAAATATTATGACTAGCAGAAGAACATCACAGGGCCAAAAGATGAGCAGCTCAAGTTGAAAGATACTCAAAATATATATGACTGGGGAAGAGCTGCCTCCTAAAAGTAGAGTTGACCATGATGACATGGGACCTTTTTTGCTGTTAAGACATAACTCAAAATAAGGAGAAATAACTGCAACCTTTCATTAATAATCTGAACATAGAATGTATGAAGTATAATTCTAGAAAAATGGGAAGTTGTCAAAAAAAAAAAAAAAAAAAAGAAATAGAGCGAATAAAGATTGATATCCAAGGCATTGGTGGTGGCAGTGCCATAATAGAGTTAGTTTCAACTCATAGTGACACTGTACAGGGTTTCTTAGGCTAAATCTTTATGAGAACAAGAAGCTTCATCCTTCTCCCATGGAATGAATGATGGATTTGAACTGCTGATCTTGCAGTTAGAAACTTAACTCGTAATGCACTATGCCACCAGGGCTCCTATCCTAGGCAATAGTGAACTGAAATGGACTGTTCTTGGCCATTTTGCATCTTACAGTCATATGGTTACTATTATGCCAGGAATTCAGGAGGAATGGCATCATTTTAGTCATGAAAATGAACTTTTCAAGACCTATTTGTAATGTACATGCTGTCTGTGATAGGATAATATCCATACAACTACAAGAAAAACCAGTTAATGCCACTACTATTAAAATTTACTCACCAACCACTACAATCAATGATGATGAAACTGAAGAATTCTACCAATTTCTTTAGTCTGAAACTGATCAAGCATGCAATCAAACTGTATTGATAATTACTGATGCTTGAAATGCACAATATGGAAACAAAGAGGAAGAACCAGTAGTTGGAAAATGTAGCCTTGGTGATAGAAATGATACTGGAGATCATATGATAGGATTTTGCAAGGCCAATGATTTATTTATTGCAAATACCTTTTAAACAATAAAAAAGATGACTATACACACGAACTTCACCAGATGGAACACAAAGAAATTAAATAGACTTCTTTGGTGGGAGGAGCTCAATAGCATCAGCTAAAACAAGGCAAGGGGCAAACTGTAGAACAGACCATCAATTGCTCATATGCAAGTTCAGGCTGAAGCTGAAGAAAATTGAAACTAGTCCACAAGAGCCAAACTGTGACCTTGAACATATCCCACCTGAATTTAGAGATCATCTCAAGAAAAAAAAAATTGATACTTTAGGCATTAATGACCAAAAACCAGAAGGCTTATGGGATGGCATCAAGAGCACTATACATGAAGAAAGCAAAAGGTTATTAAAAAGACAGGAAAAAAAGAAAAGACCAAAAAGGGTGACAGAAGAGATTCTGAGACATGCTTTCCAACATAGAGATGCTAAAGTGTATAGAAGAAATGTAGAAGTAAAAGAGCTGAACAGAAAATTTCAAATGGCACCTCAGGAAGACAAAATATTATAATGCAAAACAAAACAAAACTGGATTTAGAATACCAAAAGGAAAGAACACATTCATCATTTCTTAAGCTGAAAGAACTGAAGAAAAAACATAAAGGTTGACTTGCAAGATAGAAAGATTCTGTTTTTCCTCTCAACTTTTTATTAAGAAGTGGGTAAAGGGTTACAGAGCAGATTATTAGTTTTACATTCAACAAATCATATTCTTTGCTTCATTACATGTTGCAGTCCCCTCCATATACCAACATTTAACAGTATTTCCCTCTATTCACTGTAACTATTGTACTCCTCCCTGTGTCTCCTGCTTCCTTCATTTTTACTCTGCTAACCTACTCATTGTTGTATATTGCCTACCCTGTCACCCATGCTAACACGTGTCTACCCTTAGAACGTGAATAATTTCCCCTGCAGTAATCATCATAGATTGTTCCTTTTATCAAGAAAAAAATTTTTAAACTTTTTACAACATTGCTGTTGTTGTTAGGTGCCAATGAGTTGGTACCGACTTGTAGTGACTCTATGCATAACAGAATGAACACTGCCAGTTCAGTTTGAGTAATGCTGTGTGTGTTCTTCTCTTTTGGTTTTCTAACTCCAGGTATGTGCACATTTCATTATAATATTTGACTTTGTCTTCTTTAGCTGCCCTTTGGGTGAAATTTTCTCCTCAGCTCTTCTACTTCTTCATTTCTTCCATTTGCTCTAGCATCTCTACACTGGAGGGCAAGTCTCAGAGCCTCTTTTGACATCCATTTTGGTCTTTCTCTTCCTTCTTGTCTTTTTAATGACCTTTTGCTTTCTTCCCACAACTTTTCTGGTCCTACGTCATTAGTGTCTGGTTGATCAAATATGC